GAGAGAGAGAGAGAGAGAGAGAGAGAGAGAGAGAGAAAGAGAGAGAGAGAGAGAGAGAGAGAGAGAGAGGAGAGGGAGAAGGAATAGGGATTGGGTTGGATGAGAAATGAATGGAGAAAGAGGGCAGAAGAGAGAAAGAAAACACAAAGCAAGGACCCTCTGTCAAGCTTCCGAAACATAATATTATGAGTTATTTTTTAAGATGCCAGTACGGCTCACTTATCAGTATTTAGAGTATAACCTCCAACGTTCAAATTTTATCGAACGATAGGCCCAGAAGAGCAAGATGCCCTATGAAAAATGAAATAATGGATAGAGCATAAAATCATTTGTTTGTCTGGACAGCTAATTCTTTTTTTTTCCTCGATAACGCCGGTGGAAAAAAGATAAAAGTTTTTTAGAGCAAGGAATACGTTATTAAACTAAATACCAGGCTAAACCGGCAACTCGTTTCTCCCTACTTTCAAACACTCTTTGGTGATAATATATGCAAATAAGAAATAAGAAAAGTTTTGGCAACACACAATCTAGACTTTCGCTTTTATCAGTATGTTGTTCTATAGTGAACGTGAAGAGACTAAAGAATACAGCTCAACCATCCTCTGAACTGTAAGTACCGTACCTCGTCCAAAATACCATAAAAATTCTATTACTCAAAAAGCTCTTATGGAAACTTGTTAAGGTTACGACAGCTGTTGCGGTAGTCGTGCTGTCACAAGCTTATGTGACTACCAAATCTGGTGTCTGGCACTCTGGTTTTCCCCGGAAATGACGTCAGCACCTCGAGTTTCCCTTAATCACACAGCCTAATTGATGGAGTACAATCCAATATCGGGGTACCCGTGTCTGTAATAGCCTGCTGGAGGGGGGAGCCGATTATGCCGGATGGTGAGAGGGGTGGAAGGAAAGGGAGGGCTAGGAAAGGAAACTGTTAATAGACTTGTCGTTTTGTCTTTGTGTAAAACAGCGTCAGGATAAAAAAAGAAACGAACTTGTACGTGTGTGAGGGGAAAGCATAATGTGCTTATTTTTGTGCGAGATTGTCTGAATGTTTATGTTACATTCGAGTGTATGTGAAACATATGTACATACAAACAAAGACAAACACACAAACACAGCAAGCAAGAAAGAAATTGAGAAAATGGGAAGGGAAGAGACAGAAGGAAAGAACAACATTAAGATGGAAGGTCAACGTTTATTCAATGGCTATTGGGCTAGTAGGGGGAGGTGTCGTATAGTTGATAAGAGAAAAAAATGATGATGTTAATGATAAAGGCAACGAACATGATGACGATGATGACGCATAATGCCATAATGATGATGATGCTAACGACGATGATGTTGACGATGGTTTGCGTAATCTGGAACGCTAAACACCCCAACCCTTCTCCTATTCTTTGGGCGCGAATTTAGCTGAGTATTAGAGCTCATGCCACTGCAATCGAAAAATATTCAGTCGAAATGGGAGTATATCGATTATCGATGACAGGAAATCGAAGCTTTGAAATATTACTCCTTGACATCGTGGGCTAAAAGAATCGTTCCATACAGGTATTAATTCGTCAGCTCTTTGCCGAAGCCTGGATATATTCGCAAACAACCCCAATTGGCACATGGGTGCACTGAGATTATTACTGAACAAAGGCAGCAAGTGAAGCAGTGCGTGGATATCAGAGGGCTTCAACTTAGCGCGTTCAGATTAGAGACTGGTGTTTTTTTTTTATCAGAGTAGTATAATATTCACACACAAATGCACCCATACGCGTACACGCATGCACAAAGGGAAAACGAGTAAAAGATAGAAATTTAGATAGAAATAGTATGACAGAGAGAAAGAATACGAGAGTGAGAAAGAAAGAGAGAGAGAAGAGAAAGAGGGAGAGAAGAGAAAGAGAAAGAGAGAGAGAGAGGGGGGAGAGAGAGAGAGAGAGAGAGAGAGAGAGAGAGGGGGGGAGAGAGAGAGAGAGAGAGAGAGAGAGAGAGAGAGAGAGAGAGGGAGAGAGAGAGATAGATAGATAGAGAGAGAGAGAGAGAGAGAGAGAGAGAGAGAGAGAGAGAGAAAGAGAGGAGAGGAAGAAAGAAAAGGGAAAAGTGAGGGTCAAGGGTGTACCTAACGAAAAGAAAAAGAAAATGTAATTCAATGTCAATTTTTTTTACCTTCTTATACTGCATATGTATTGAAGCGTTGTCGTCCTTTGCCTCGGCTGCTTTATCCGCTGCTATACATTCCTGGGGGATGACAAATACAGTAGATTATGAAGTGAGGACTACAACATGTTCATACAATGTATGGCATTTATCGGGGACGACAGCCATGATTATTTAAGCAAATCTTTTATTAAACCTTTTATTATCAAGTTTAACAGGAATAAGCCCCGCACTGTAAGCATAAGTCGGGCTATTTTGTTAACAATAATGTTATTTTATATCACTGTTTTTTGTATGCAGATAATTCTTCCCTCGCTTTTTCCTCATTTTGTTCTTCAGTTCACTCTTTTTAAAGTAATCTTCTGCTTCCCCATCCTCTTCTATCGTCTTTTTGCCCACTTTTCTTTGAAAGGAGTTGATACTATCTTAAAAAGATTAATACAAAATAAGTATAAAGCTGAATCTCTAAATAAGAAGTACAAAAATATTTTTGCTTTTATAAAAATGTACCCATCAAAGTTCATCAAACGAACAAAATTCATGAAACTTCCAGTCGCTTTCTTTTAAAGCGTTTTGGACTACTGAAATGAGGAAGAAAGACATGATCCTGTTTGATAATGTTGAGAGTTATAAAGAAAAGCAATGCAAAGTCAATGTCAGGTAATTTTTCACACAAGCAAAACACATAGTGGGCAACTGCCGCCCCTTCCTCAATTGAGAACCGGTTATATTGGCTTACTCGTATATTATAGTGAAGGGTGCAAATTGAATAGTTATTCAGTAACTGACTCAGAAGGATGTATAAATAAAATGTAGAATATTTCCTTCGTATAAGTTTACTGTTTCTGCTTTTTTCGCCCCCGTCTCTCTCTGTGTCTCTGTCTGTCTGTCTGTCTGTCTGTCTGTCTGTCTGTCTGTCTGTCTGTCTGTCTGTCTGTCTGTCGGTCGGTCGGTAGGTCGGTCGGTTGGTCTGTCTGTCTGTCTGTCTGTCGGTCTGTCTGTCTGTCTGTCTGTCTGTCTGTCTGTCTGTCTGTCTGTCTGTCACTCTATCTCTCTCTGACTTCCCAAATTATGGAGCCAAATTATGTGTCTCCTTAAAAATGACTTATTTACGTCTGGTAGATCGTTAGATTTAGCGAAAAAGAGAAAAGAAAGCAAACAAAAATATGTAGTAGTTACCTCTAATCTTAAAGAATTGCCAAACTTTTGACACCAGACTTTGTACTCATGGCCCATGGTGGAAAGACGCTTTAGAAACTCCATAGTCTCCAGGGCCATGAGCGAGTTGCCCTCGAGATCTGTCTTGCAGATAGCAGACCAGCTCTCAAGCACTTTCAGCACACCCCTGTGTTGGAAGGAAATCTCATAGCTGGGAGTGGCGGAAGGAGAAGTGGAGCTGACACACGAGGGAGAACCGCTGGCTCTGTGATCATTGGTGGGGGAGCACAGGGCTGGGCTGGAGAGGGACGTGTGAGGCATGAACTGCTGCTGGAGTGGGGACAGCATAGATGGGGGGCCATACTCCTGTTTGACCGAGAGGTGGTTGGAGAAACTGGTCGAGGGTGGAATGGTCGGGAAGTCAAACTGAGTAGCTTGAGGGCTTTGGCTGGACGTGGAAGGGTTTGGGGAAGAGGGAGCCTCGAAGTGCACAGTGATAGTTGTGGCGGGGGGAGTGCCCTTTGGTGACGTGATGCGTCCAGGTGGACGGTGGTGGTGATGATGAGAATGATCCGATAAAGAAGGAATAACAGGGACAGCGGAAGAAGAAGTGGACGGTTGGTGTAAAATCCTCTCGCTCTTCCCTCCTACATCCGTTGTGGTGATCGTAACCATAGAGCCCGTTTTGAAGGTTCCCACAGACAAGGACGTGCCGGGGAAAATGAACGTTGGTCGACTCGGGCTGTGCTTGCTGTCAGCGATGTCAGTGTGTACGTGCAGTTGCCCCGTGGAGCTGTTAATGAGATTGGAACGGTGTCGAGACGCCAAGTTCTCGGGTACGGAGCTGGAACGGGAGAAGACGGGGGAAACCTCGCAGGGCGGGGTCTCCATCACAAAAGTGGGCAGGTTGATTAGCTCTCGCTGGAAGGCCACGATGTCAACCTCCGGCGTTGAGGAGTCGTTGCTGGAGGCAGTGCTGTGCTGGCTCACGATGCTGTCCTGGTGAGTCAGTTGCACGTTCACCTGTGACTTGGACAGCCGCTTCTTGCTGGGCCAACGAAATAACTTCTTCTGGCTTTTCATTGGAAGCTCTTGAGCTCCAGATGCTTCCACTTCTGGGGGTGTGGTTGCCGAGCCTCCGATTTGGCGTCCTGAGGATTCTCCGTTCTTCGACATGATGTCGAGATCAAGCGGTGTAACTAGGCTCTCTCCAATAGCGCGTAAGGCAAGTTTTGTCGTTGTTCCATTTTTACTTTGTAAATAATTTTGCCCGGTGGCTTGAGACTTCGGTGATAAAATCTTTTCGCTACCGGTTCCAGTCATCATCACATCTCTATCATCAGGGTCATGGGTATGGCCTTCGTCCTCGTCGATCCCCGAGTCTGAAATCATAACTCGTAGACTTGGCTTCGGTTTGGGGGTTTTCCCTTGCTGCTGCTGCTGCTGCAGCAAAGGTTGCTGCTCTTGATCCTGTAACCCCACGCCTTCTTCAGGTCCAAATCTTTTATTCTGTTGTTGCTGTTGTTGCTGCTGCTGCTGCTGTTGCTGTTGTTGTTGCTGTTGCTGCTGGTGTGAATGCTGCTGCTCTTTCGCCAACGTGACCCCATCCCCTTGAGACAGCTCCGGCTTCCTAGGCGGACATATATCGACCTTGTCCACTTTCGGAGGCTTGAGCTTTGCGTCAGAGTACAGAGTTTTTCGGCGTATCATGTTGCCGAAAAGTCGATGAAACAACAGACGTAGAACGATCACAGGATGGACGACCATGGGTAATCCAGTGAGGAAATATTCCCGGAGAGACTGGTGGTAAGCACTAGACTCAAGCTTTTCAGTGGAGCAGGAGGGCGAGTTGAGGGGGGAAAATGTGGGTCGGGAATGTGGACATGAGCTGAGGTCTCCGTCATAATGCCCGGTCAGACTGTTAGCTGAGCCGCTCAGACGGATAAATGGCGTTTGTGTGTCTCTGTCTTTCTCCTCCATAGACGCATCCTAGAAAGAAAAAGTGGCCAATGTATATTTTATGTACAAATATCAAGTGACGTCTCGGGACTAAAAGAAATCAATTTTTATTTTTGTCCTGAAACTAATACATGTATCAGGTTTACGTAAGTTAAATTATGAACTATTTGTTCAACTACACACACACACACACACACACACACACACACACACACACACACACACGCTCTCTCTCTCTCTCTCTGACACACGCATAAACATACACACACAGACAGG